CTGGTTCTATCCCTCGTGAGTTATTGACTTCAAGCAGTGGTTTCGTATCAAGCAAGATACCAGAATTCAGAGCAAGCTTCAGGTGGAGGTCTCAACAGACAAAGAACCCTGACAAAGACCTACTGAGCAAGATACTTATTGTGAGCACCCGGAAGAGCGACCCCAGATTTTCGAAATATTCATCAAGCGCAAGACCACCTGTTCAAACGCCTTCTTCAAGCCCTAGACAACCCTGAACAGGTGAACTTTATATTCAATTCTGGTCCATTTCTGGTATACTTAACCCTAACCCCCCAGGTACCTACTAAAAAGGGCCCTACGGGCTCTAGTACCCTATGTAGTAGGTACCTAGGGGGTTGGGGTAATCCTGTAAGAAACGGAGAACTGCGAAAGATCCCGCGAGGAAGCTCCATCGTCTCTTCCTCAGCCTCTCCGGTTTCTGCGGGTCCTTGGCATCTGCCTAATGGACAATTGTTTAGGGTTTACCCTAAAGCTCCATGTAGCCATATAGTATATACTTCGGCCTTAAAGTAGTCCCGATATCGGTAGTTTAAGGCGTAAGTATGTACTACATGGGCACATGGAGCTTAGGGTTAGGGTGTGGGGTTAAATGGGGCTATAAACCTATGAATAATACGTGGGATCATGTAACCTAGTACATAGCGTAACAGTCTGTGAACAAGTAGCCAGACGAATAGCTACCCGTAGCCCCAATCGAGGTGCTTCTATCCTGAACTACTATAACCCTAAACCCTAAACCCTAAACCCTAAACCCTAAAGTTCTCCGATCCTTTGAGTAAGGTTGCAGGATTCTCGCTCCGCAGGGCATTCCGGTTCGAGAGTTGAGGGGTTTGCTTAATATAGGGGCCTAAATAATTTCGGATAACATTTTGGTGGTTCCTTATCACACGAACAGTCATGGCACCAGCACTGCCATTAACAGCAACAGGATCGCCACAGGCAGCCTGCCAACATGAAGATATCACAAGTAAGCATGTTTCGAAACAAGAGCTAAGCCCTAAACCCTTATTGTAGCCTAAACCCAAAAGCCTTACCATCAAGCCCTGCTTATCGGAACCCTCCCTCCCTGCCCCGCCCGAAAGCGAAGCACGAGTTCCTAAAACTGACACACATGGCTTACACTCGGAGGCAGTCTTCATGGTAAGCCCCGAACATATAACTTGGTCGATTGGGAAAGTTTCATGAAATCACAGTTCGAGGTTACTGTTAGGGGAGGGTTGGGAGCCTTTTTTCACATCCTAAATCCCGTCAAGTACAGTATTTCGTAATGTGCTGAATATCAGGTTCCATGTCACTGCTGATTGGCAGAATCCCGTACTTGTCAACATCCCGCTGATAATGGGCAGTGCCTCGAGCCTTGGCAAACATCCTTCTGAGATCATAGCATCACAAGTTCAGGGAGGGCAAAAACGGCAACCGTTTCTCTGAGGGCAGTTCTCCGACTGTGTCCTCGCCATCCTCCGACTGGCTCGGCCGAGATCTCATTGCTCCCGGAAGGGTGATTATAAAATAAGTACAAGCAACCCTAAACCCTAAACCCTAAACCCTACCTAAACTAGGGCTACTAATCATTTATTGGTCTGGGGCTTCGAGTCTGCTGCTTTGAGTTTTGGGTTATAGGTAACGCTGTACACTCAAGTGTTGGTTTCAGGGCCTTTGGTTTCGCCAGTGCCTCGGGTAGGGCCCAATGCGTCTGGGCTTTAGGGCCTTGACTTTTGAGGTTTAGGTTTTAGGGTTTAGGCCCTAAGCCCTAAACCCTAAACCCTAAGCCCCTAAACCCCTAAACCCCTAAACCCTAAACCAGGGCTACTAAATGCAACAGAACTCACCCATCATGGGACGGTTTAGGGTCTAGGTTTTGGGGTTAAGGGGTAGGGTCTTCGGAACTCGACCAGACTCGTTACAATACACGCCACGGCTAAAGCTTGCACTGCAAGCGTCAACGGCCCTCAACCTTTAGCACTGTAAACTCTATGCACAAGCCAGAAACGTTGAAAATGCTCCAAACTCAAATCTTGACATCCTCAAGGCCTATGTTCCTTGATGCAAACCTCGCGCCCTACCTAGAGGTTTATACCCTACAGTGCCCCTTTTCTAGGGTACCTACTTTTCTACATAACAGATCCTAGCCACAGAACTAGGTATCCTAAAAAAGGGGGGAGGTAGGGAATGAGCCCTGAACCCCTAAACCCTAGACCCTAAACCCTAAACTCCTAAACCCCAAAACCCCTAAACCCCTAAATTTAAAAGTACCGCCTCAAAGATCCAAGGGTTGGACAAATCGCAGATCCCAGATCGTGAGCGGCAAGCAGGTCAGACCCAGAGTTGAGGGGTTTAAGGTTTAGGGTTTAGGTTTTAGGTTTTAGGGTTTAGGGTTTAGGGTTTAGGTTTTAGGGTTTATAGGGTTTATACGGGTTTATAAGGGTTTATAGGGGTTTAGGGTTTAGGGCTTAGGCGGGGTTCTAGTCATTCTGATCTAGCTAAGCCCGAAACCCCTTCCCTAAACCCTATGAATTGTTACCTATAGTCTCCATTGTGGTTCCTTTTTTGGGGTTGCCTTTTAGGATCCTTAATTCAGAAGGGGTTAAACCAAAAAAACAAAAAATAACTACAATGGCGACTATAATATGGGGGCCTAAATAATTACTAATACTATTTTGGTGGTTCCTTAGTATCAGTATGGTATACTGGGCCCCCCAAAACCCTATTCTAATTATTAAGGCCCCTACATTAGGTAGTCTTCCATAGTAGGAAAAAGCAAAGCAAACTTCAGCCCCAGGGCTTGGGAGCCTCTTCCGTGGGGCGGAATGCAGCCTATCGCCAAGGCCATCTGTGGAGTCTGCGGGGCTCAGGGCGTAGGGCTTACCTGGACCCTACAAAACCTACCTTTGTAGGGTTCCTTATTATGCTTTTTTATATATGTCCTTACAAAGATAGGCTATTTGGAGCTAGGGTAGGGATTAGAATTTAGGGTTAAGGGTTTAGATTCAGGAGTTTAGAGTTTAGGCTTTAGGTTTTGGAGTTTGGGGTTTAGGGGTTAGGGTCTAGACCATGTTGCCGCTGCCATGCTATCGCTACGAGCCACGGCAGCAAGAACCATACCGAATGCTGCTGCTGCTGCTGCTGCTGCTGCTGCTGCTGCGACGACGACGACGACGACGACGACAGCGACAACGACAATCTCGAAGACGATTCCTGCTGCTCGTGCCACCACCGCTACCCCTCATGCGCAGACCGTGAAGCCCGTATTCTATTCCCGTGATTAGCAGGAAGATCGAAACTGTTTCGTGGCTTGAGGTCTCGGAGCTTGAGGACACTATGGGTTACCGCCCAGGTGGTAGCCCGAGCTGGAAAAACCCAAGAACCAAGTCGCACATCCCCCCCAGCCCTAAGTCTCAACCGTATCCCTGCCCTAAACTCTAAACCCCAAACCCTAAACCCTTAATCCTAAACCCTGAACCCTAAACCCTAAACCCTAGTATCCCTGCGCCAGGCAGGCCTACCCGAAGGCGCAGCCAGCCCCGCAGAGCCTGCGGAAGGCGAACCGATGGGTGCTGGGTCGCGTGGGGAGTCCAATTTATTCGGGACTTGACATATGGTAACGCTTTAGGGCTTTAGGGGTTTTAGGGTTTAGCTGTTAGGGTTTAGGAGCTTCGGGTTTAGGGTTATTGTTTTAGGGTTTTTTCAGGGGGTTAGGAGTTTAGGGTTGATGTTGTAGAACTTCACCTTAGGCAGGGTAAGGCTAACCCACAGGGTCCATGAACGCATCTAGTACACAGCTCCTTTGGTTTTCTTGATTTGGGTTTTCTGGCTCGAGGTCTGGCTTCGCCAACATCATGTTCTTCCTGAGCCCTATACACCCCTGCACCTGAGCCCTAAACCGGGTTTAAGGTTTCGGGTCGAAGGTTGCCACGGCTTTCAGGGCTCATGGGCTTTAGGCTGAGAGCTCGGTGGCTTCTTGTTTCTTGGAGAAGGCCTCGAGATTTGCGGCTGTCTGGGGGTGAACCATTCCCTCGGCGCACCAGCCACCTACAGTAGGATACTGGCTTCTGGGTGCTTCAACCCTAAACCCTACTTGGAGGGCCGGGGGACTTAGTAAGTAGTCATTTTTAAATTGTAGACTTAAAAGTATCATGACCCCAATTAGAGTCCCGTTTAAGTTGCTTATACATCTACTTGTTACCTGCTTGCTACGTCCCCCGACCCTAACCCCTGCACCCTAAATCTGATACGCTCAAGAAATGAGTGCTACGCTAACCGGCTTCGTAGAAGCAAGCCTTTAAGCCGCCACTCGCACCATGATGCCTTCAGAGACGGTCGCCTGTCGGTGGGGAAGTTCGAGGGCTGAGGTTTTAGGTTTTAGTGTTTTAGGGTTTAGGGGTTTTAGGGTATGGGGTTCAGGGTTTCAGGGTTTCGGGTTTAGGAATTTAGGGACCCTGAACCCTAAGCCCTCAACCCTAAACCCCAAACCCTGAACCCTGACCCCTAAACCCTCAACCCTGAACCCTCAACCCAAAACCCAAAACCCTAAACCCAAAACCCTAAACCCCTAAACCATCAACCCTCAACCCTACACCCAAAACCCTTCAGAGGGCTCTTGGAGAATGCCTTATAATTATATATATATATATATAGAATCCTACCCTAAACCCTAAAGTCTTCGCTGAGGGCTCGACAACCGCCACGCGGAGCCCGAAGCGGCCCGAGCTTCGCGAGCGGCAGAAAACACGTACGCGGAGCCTAGGTAAAGCTAGGCGACTGGCACCATGCATGCCGGCGCCTCGGGCACCCCGAGGGTTTTTGCCAGCACGTCC